CAGCCTGCAGAGTCTGACGTTTGGTGCAAAGTTCAACCAGAGCTTGGAGGGCATCCAGCTACCCAGCAGCCTGCAGAGCTTGACGTTTGGTGAGAAGTTCAACCAGAGTTTGGAGGGCATCCAACTGCCCAGCAGCCTGCGGAGCTTGACGTTTGGTGACAGGTTCAAGCAGAGCATGGAGGGCATCCAGCTACCCAGCAGTTTGAAGACGTTCACTTCAGTTTCGTTTTGCGTATGCAGCTTGTGAGCCAGGATGTGCTAAACAGAAAGCAGCAGCTGATGTCATGTGCAGAAGTGCACTTCCTGCGCCTATTGGCATGTAGTAGTGGCGTTTCGTTCTTCTGCTTCCTTGCTGTCATTCCAACATTCTACACCAACGTCTCACGGAAAGTGTAGCTCAAAAAAATCCGCAACCCTAAACCCAGCTAAGCCCAAAGTCTCGCGGGAGGCTCCCTCGCATCGTGCATGATCGAGGATGCTCGGCCTTTTGCAGGGGCTGCATGGTGGGCAACGAAGCCCACGATCTCGGACTAGCGACCATCATAATCCTCTGTACAATGATTAGCGTGTGCTACCTGTCGGCTCGATGCTTCCATCAGGCTGTTGAGGCTTTAGGTACTTAAGGCTGGTGCAAGAAGGATGCAGGATGCCGGACTTGCGACTGAACGAGGGTTCCCTTCATCAAAGTGGCCGGAGCAAGGAAATTCCCATAGGGGCCACTGTAGGCAACCTCGATGACACCACTTGTTGCATGTAAGCCCTTCATCCCCATCTTGGTACCTTGATCCCAGCCTTAGAACCGCGAGCCTGACCCTCTAAACCCCGTCCATTGTGTCCGGAGCTCGAGGACAACGTCTGGTGGGAGTCCCACTTAAGGATCAGAATCTTGTTTTGCGGTGAATGGTGATACCAAATCGGATATTGCTCCTCATGGTTCCGACCCTTAAACTGCCTGCAGCCAGGAACACACACAAACTAAACCGAGAAAGCCCTTTGATGCTTACCCTTAAACAAACACTCGAGGGTTACACTTCCTGCAGCCCCCAACCCTGGAACCCTTGACCCCCACCATCGCGCCTCGCGACCCCGGCAACCCACCATAAATTGTACAAGGCCCGCGAGGGAGACGCAGCTTGGTGCGAAGACCATGCCGGACCTGGCCTTCATGGAGTTAGTATCAGGAGGTCCCAGGATCCTCGTCGAATTACTGGCACGATGTTGAACGTTGAGGTGTTTCGGGGCTTTGGATCATCAGTCTCAGCAGCAACAAGCGACGACGACTTCGACTCCATCTTCAGCAGC